CAGGGTCCAGGCTGGGCTTGAATTTGTGATCCTCCTGTCTCGGCTTCCCAGAGTGCTTGAGAGGTGCCTATAGCACCATACCCAGATAATTCACTACTTTTATATAAAGTTACCTACAGTTGCTCAGATAAACAAGTTTGTAATAGTTTCTTCATTGGTGGTACCTCAAAATACATACTGTTTTGCATAAAAAGAAAAATAATGTTTCAAAATTCTTACTTATTCAGGACTCTTGCTACACCAAAGTCCCCAAGCTTTGCAACCATTCCATTCTTGCTAAGAAAAATGTTCTAAAAGTGGAGAAAATGCTATGTTATTGGAAATATTTCAAGAAAAGAATGATTGTCTTCACTGCCTCTCTGAGTGGTTACCTGAGATTTTATGTCCCTGTGTACTATCTTCCTGTCATGAATATATTTCAGTCCAAGAGAAATTTGTACGAACCAACCCAGGATCTGCAGAGAAAAACACAGAACAGAAGGATTCAACTGTGTGGTAGTCATCAAAATGTCTTCATGGTAACATATAAAAAAGGGAAATAATATACTGTGTGTGGTTAGAAAAACAAAGCCAATACATACATTATTTTCACTTTTCAGCCAAAAAATTGGAGGTGCAGAAGGGCAATCCAAGCACCATTAATATAGAAGGGAATCCCACATGCAGAAAAAAATAAACAGAAGCAAGGGAGATACAAAAGCCATTCAAGATCTTCCTTTTTATTATTTAACACTGGGTATCAACTGCAAGTACAGTGTTTGTGTATGATTCCTAATACCCCAATGACTCTGGTGCCACTGAATTTTTCTATGCATAAAACAGAAGGTGACAGAAAGAGTGTTAGACAGGGAGAAGTGGAAAATTTTAAGGTTGTTAGAAATTGTTATAATTTTAGGAGGAAGAGTCAGGAGGATCAAAACTTCCACCCCAGCCTGGGCAACTCAGCAACTTAGTGAGACCCCTGTCTCAAAATTAAATGGATTTTTAGAAGGGCTGAGAATGTAGCTCAGTGTGAAGACCCTGGCTTCAAAGTATAACAGGAAGAACAGTAAAATCTACTATTTTAAATGCAATAAAAGCTATTAGTATTAATAAGTTACACAAAGGTGTGATTTTAGTACTTCAAATATTATATTTTTTAAATTGCACCATATATTTGTTCCCGTGGGTCTCTTCCTCATAATTATTCAACCAGTCATGTTAGTACACCAATTATACTGTGTAAATTTGGAGAACGATGCAGAAATAAAGTCTGTGTTAAGGCTTATATCTAGATGTTCCCCCAATGTCTCATGTACTCATAGGGTTTTGAAGGTGGCTGCATTAGGGTGTGTGAATGTAGATTAAGCGTGTGATACCAGGATTAAGGGTGTGGATAATGGAAGCCCCACTCTGCGTGTGGGCAGTACCAATTACACACTGGGTAGAATATAAGGGACAGAAAGAAGCTAGGTGGTGGCAGTTGCTGATGCTGCTGTGATTGCTGCTGCTGCTTGCTGCCTTCTGCCTGCTCTACCATGCCATGGACTGTTTATCCTCTGCCATGCCCCTCTGCCATGCCACCCTGCCTTGGAGTCAGCCAACTCTGGGCTTAAATCTCTACAAACTGTGAGGTGAAATACACCTTTCCTCTTTTATCTTGTGGGTGTCGAGTATTTTGTCTCAGTGAGAAAAGTAACTAAGACAACCTGAAAGCAAAAGAAATTGTAGGAAAGAAACCAAGGTAGAGGGAGGGAGCAGAGACGGGAGGGAAAGGGAAATAAAAAGAATTAAGAAGTATGTGAAGGAGTCCGGCCCCCACCCTCCTAGCTGACTAGAGACCATTTTAAACCCCCTTCCGCCCGCCATGTTGGAGACCTGCTCACGATGCACTCAGAGCTGTGGGTTACAGAGGCCCAGGAACCACGGCCACACCCACAACTCCCATCGCCCTTCAGCCCTGCTCCTGGCTGCACCTGCCGCTGCCTGGGGCCCTCTCCAGCCTCGCCCCTGGCAGGCAGCCACAGCTCCTCTCACGGAACTCTGCGCCTCCAAGGTCCCACGCTGGCTGCTCCCTTTCACAGACCCTCTCTGCTCCTGACCCTGTGGAAGACCTTCCAGCCTGCGAGAGGGACAGGTCTGCTCCAAGTGCCAGGATGGCCCCCGTTCTGAATAAAACTGTCCTGACCAGTGAACTCATGCCTTTGTGTTTTCCTATTTTTTCCTAATATTATGTACATGTACCAACTCCCCATAATGAATGTACTCACTATATACTGCAAATACTAATAATTAAAAAATAAAAATTAGCCAGCCATGGTGGTGCATGTTTGTAACCTGCACACACAGTAGCTGAGGCAGGAGGATCACTGTGAGTTTGAGAACAGCCTGGGCTACATAGTGAGTTCAAGGCCAGTCTGAACTGTGAAGCAAGACCCTGTCTCAAAAAAAACAAAAAAAAAAAGGAAAAAAAATTGTCATGAAAAGCATTCTTATAAAATGCAGCAAAATAGTACCTAGGCAAAAAGTAAGGAGAGTTTCTGTAAATAAGGATTTGAATATATAATACATGAATTTAGGAAGAATGCTTGATTAATATTACAGATGTTAGAGATACTGATTCTTTATCACTCACACATTCCAAGTATTCAACTTTTTTTGGTTCGGATTTTTGAGACAGCAAGGCCCCATTATGTAGTCCAGCTGGCCTTGAACTCACAGAGACCCTGCTGCCTCACCCTCTGGAGTGCTGCGGTTACAGACGTGTAACTTCAACTCTAGGAGGAAATTATATGGGCATGATGTTTTTAAATCATAAAACAAAGAAACAAATGGTCCAAAGAAAGCTAGGGAAGCCACTCCTGAGTGCTGTGTGAGGTAATGGTACCACGCTCTTAGATGCCTACGCACACAGACCTGTGTCCTCCACGGGCACAGCTCCCCAAGGGTCCCGAGGAGGGTCGGAGTAGAGAAGAAAAATGTATTCGCGTGAAGGAAAAATGGGGGCTGAGGCTGTCATTCGTCACTGATGAGACAGGCTGGGGCACACCGCTTGCCTAGCACACCAGGGCCCTGGGTTCCACCCCAAGCATCATAAATAAGAGCAAAAATAACCAATGAAATTAAATAGGCATTGCTAACAAAATCAGCTCTTCTCCTTGGCCAAGTGAAAAGGTGTTTTATAACAGGGTAAAATAGGGCTGGGGATATAGCTCAGCGGCACAGCACCACCCTAGCAAACGCAAGGTCCTGAGTTCAATTCCTGGAACTAAAAAAAAAAAAATGTAAAAGAAAAAACTGTAGCTCTAAATATGTTACACTAAAATAGCTAAAGAACATACATATTCGGATTCTTTTTTAGCATGAAGATTTACTTTAGAGGCCTGGAGATACTTCCCTGTAATCCTAGCCATTCGGGAAGTTGAGGCAGGAGGATCGCTAGTTTGAGGCCTACATGGCCAATTTAGCAAGGACCCATCTCAAAATAAAAAGGGTTGGGTATGTGGCTCAGTGCTCAGTGTCTAGCATATGTGTGGCCCTGGGTTCAGTCCCTTGGACACAGAAGCTGGGAGAGAGGAGGGGGCAGGGAGAGAGGAAGGGAGGGGGAGGGGAAAAGTCTCAATTTCAGTTCAACCACAAACATGTTCTAGACTAAGTTTACCAAGACTATCAACCCACTAGATTTTGGTTTGAATTTTTCTATGAAAAACTATGCTTCATATAAAAGTGGTCTACTACTTATGACATTCCAAATGTAATAACCTGCACACACACAAATTAAAAAGCAAATTAAATGTTTTTACCTGATCTTCACCAAACAGCACTCCTCGTTGCCTGTGGATCCTTCTCATGAGGTCCCCGCCATCACAATATTCCATTACGATAAACAGCCTGTGGCGCTCTGTAAGAAAAGGCATCCGTTGGTAGTGGAAGGACTTGAGATATTTATCAACACTTTGCCTTTCACAGTCAGAAAATGGGAAATATAAAACAAAAATCCAGAACATAATAGTTAAATATTCTGGCTATAAAATCAGGGTGGACCAGGGCCCAGTGCCTGAAATCCCAAAACTCAGGGAAGCTGAGGCTGGAGGATTGCAAGTTCAAGCCCAGCCTGGATAATTTAGCAATTTAGTGAGACCCTGTCTCAAAATAAAATATAAAAAGGGGCTGGGGTTGTAGCTCAGGGCAAAGGGCCTGTGTTCAGTATCCAGTTCCACCAAAAAAAGAAAAAAGGACTGAGATCTAATCCCACTCTACCACTTACATTCCTTTCCTCCTTTCTTTTTTTTTTCTCTCTTTTTTTTTGTTACCAGGAATTAAATTCAGGGCCTTGGCAGACAGGCACTGTGCCACTGAGCTACATCCCCAGCCCCTTTCCTCCTTTCCTTCCTCTGTCTATCTTTCTTTTCACAGTGCTGGGGTAAGGTCCAGGCCAGCATGCTACCACTAATCTACAGCCCCATCCAGCCCACCACTTGCATTTCTTAGCTTTAGGATTCAACGTAAATTACTTTAATTTCTCTGTGGCTCATTAGTTTATCTGTAAATGGAAATAATAATATAGAAACATCCTCAGGGTTGGTAGAAAGATTAAATGAGCTCATTTACTCAAGATGTTTAGAACAAAGCCTATGCTTATATGGGTTCAATAAATATTGACTATTATTATTAATATATTCTTACAAGAGATTAGAAACCAGATATAAAAGTAGCAGCTGTTACTCTTCCTCGATACCCCAGGAAGAATTAATACCCCTTCTTGAATTTGGGCATAAACTCGTACTTATATGGCATTAATTCAACCATGCTGCTGACTATAGTAAAAACCATGCTACCTAGTGCCGGGTATGGTGGCACACATCTATAACCCCAGCATATGGGAGGCGGAGGCAGGAGGAGCTCCACAAGTTTGAGGCCAGCCTAGAATATACAACAAGACCTTGTCTCAAAAAAAAAAAA